TGGTGGTGGATGGTGGATGGTGGTAAATGATAGTGATGATGATGATGATTATGATGGTGGTGGAGGTGGTGGTGATGGTAGATGATGGTGATGGTGGTGGTGGATGGTGGTAGGTGATAGTGATGGTGGTAGATGGTGGTGGTGATGGTGATCATCACAATGATGGAGGTGGTGATGGTGGTGGGGTGATGGTGGATGATGGTGACTGATGGTGGTGAATGATGGATGGTTGTGGTGATGATGGTGATGGTGGTGGTGATTATGATGGTGGTGGTGGTGATAATGGTGATGGTGGTGGTAAATGAGGGTGATGATGGTGGTAGTGATGGTGGTGGTGGTGGTAGATGATGGTGATGGTAGTAGTGGATGGTGGTGGTGGTAGCTGGTGGTGGTGATGGTGATCATCACGATGATGGAGGTGGTGGTGGTAGAGGTGATGGGTGGTGCTAGGAGAAGGTGGAGAATGGATGGCAGGCACAGGAGCCATTACCTCCTAAGCCTCCTGGATTAAGACTGGCCAAAACTCTCCTTCAGCTCTGAGAACATTCTCTGCTTCTTTACACAGTGCCTAGGTGGGGTGCCAAGCTCAAAGCTGAAAATCTCATCATACAGGAAGCATCAAAGACATGAGAGCAGGTTAGGTCAATGACCATAACTGTAGGAAAATTAACTTTGGAGTCAGGCGCAAGGCTGGAGCAAGAGCGTCAGCCAGGAGGCTCATGCCATGAGTAGTTGAGCTAAACAGGAGAGACAAGGACGAAGCAGCCAAGCAGAGGCAGGGGGGCTGACTTAAGAGTGTCCTAGCCCTGACCAGCAGACTTCAGGGGCTGATCCAAGAGAAGGACCCAGCCTTTGGAGTCCTCAAAGCCCCGAATGGAACCCTTCATCCCCCCAAAGGCCTTCTGGGACCACTGCCGCCAAACCTGCTTAATCTCAAATCCTTACATCAGCTTCTCTGGTGTACCCAAACCCAGACGAGGGTGTCCAGACAAGGCCTCAGGTACCCATGAGAGGCAGGGTTCCTAAGCCAGCACCAGCTGCCCCTCAGAGCAAGCATGTGTATGAATACGGCGAGGCCTCGGTGGGGCTCACAGGGCAGTGGGATGTCAGCCTGCTGACAAGTGCCTCAGATGCGGACTCCTGCGCCAGACACCAGGGGCCCACAGTGTCACATACTGCTGAACATGCTTGATCGGAACTGAGGTGAGCATGAGGAGCAGAGGTCTGGATAGGCTGGCGGGATGGCTCAGCAGGTAAAGCTGCTAAAGCTGAGGACATAAGTTCAATTCCATATGGTGGAAGGAGAAAATCAACTCCCACAAGTTATCCCCTGACTCACACACACACATATACATACACACACACACACACACACACACATACACACACACAACATAAACACACACATACACACAAAAACACACACATACACATACATAACAAATACACACATACACATTTACAACATAAACACACACACACAAACACACACATACACACGCATACACACATGTATACCTACACACACGTACACACACACACATTTAACATTTTTAAAAAGCAGATGTGTAGGAATGTATCCCCAGCCACCAAGGCCAGCCCCACTCCTGTCCCTCGGGGCAGGCGTCCATGGTTCTGTATTCAGAGGCACGTCCCTGTGTCTAGAGGGCTGTGTGCCAGGTGTCCCTGTGTTCTTCTTGTGTCTCAGAATATGGCTTTGTCTTCTTCCACTGTTATGTAACTATGAATCCTGGCCCACAAACCCAAAGTTGGGGGAAGGAAAAGGCATTTCTGTTTCTTCTTTTAAATCAACTGAGGTGAAATTTTGGGTCACCATCCCACTGGGGTAATAGGAAATTCCATTTCCGCTTTTAAAATACTTTTTTTCATGTAGATCAATTTAGACAATAATTTAAATTTATCATCTTTACATCAGCACATGCAGTGCCTGTGGGTAATCCCAGTACTTGAAAGGTGAAGGCATGAGTTTAAGGTCATCTTAGGTTACTCAGTGAGTTCAAGGCCAGCGTGGATTACATGGAATTCTGTTTTCAAAAAATAACTCTTGATGCCACTTTAAGTCTATATTTGATCGTCCTTTAACATACTCACAAGTTTGTGTGCCTTTGCCACATTCTCATTCTAGAAGGTTCAGTCACAAAGGAAAGGCCATCCCAATGCTCACACCCTGACCTCCCTCTGTCCCAGCCCACTACCTTGCCACCTGCCTGATTTGTGTTTTCCTATGAGTCTCGAGCATTTCTGGAATGCCTCTGTTGGCTAGACCGTGGAGAACACAGATTTGCAAAGCCTAAGCCTCCAGGACAGCCGGGACACCGGAAGGAGTCAGCTCACGTTGGAGGGTGCCCGCTGAATAGCAGCCACTCCAGGGGTCAGTGTGCCCCAGTTTTCCAGAGGAGCTGAGAACCAGAGGCGCGATGAGAAATGACTCCATTTCTGATGCTAGTGAATAATTCATGTTTTTAATATACAATATTGTATAAAGAAAAAGCATGCAGATGAGGCAGCTCTGAACTGCCAGGCCACAATATCTGACTGAAACAGCACACATAATGTCAAGCTGTGAAAGAGTACAAGCTGTCAGAAGGTCTCAGGAAAAATAGTCACTGGATGAGATCCTGTAGACAAACATGTCCTAATGAGGTTTTTTTTTGGGGGGGGGGGGCATTTTCAAGACAGGGTTTCCCTGTGTAGCCTTGGCTGTCCTAGAACTCGCTCTGTAGACCAGGCTGGCCTCAAACCCACAGAGATCCGACTGCTTCGGCCTCCCCAGTGCTGGGATTACAGGCGTGTGCCCGATTCTAATAAGGCTTACAGAGCGGGGAGAGGGGTGGTTTGTAGGGAGGTGCTCAAGGAGGGAGACCATCAGGAGAAGCGTGTCCACATGGGTGAGGACTGTGCCAGCATGCAGATGACAGTGTTTTCCCCTTTTGGACAGGGCTGGTACTCAGCAAAAGGTAACCCTTGTCTCCTCCACATCTCCATGGGGGACCAGCCAGAAGGAGGGCCAGGAGCAGCCCACCTGTCACAGAAGCTAAAGAAATCGCCCACTATGAGGACCTTAAATTAAGATGAGGGGAAATGTGAAACCAAGGCGAAGAGAAGCTTCATGGAGAAGTGGAGGATGTTTGCGATGTGGTCATGGTTTGGCATAATTCTGGAGTCTCCGACTGGCCAGTCCTAAGCAAAGTTGCTCAGTCAGGAGTACAAAAATTCCCTTAGAACACTGGCTCTCAACCCGCTAATGCTGTGACCCTTCAGTACAGTTCCTCATGCTGTGGTGGCCCCACCTGAAAATTATGGTGGTGGCTATTTCATAACTGTAATTTTGTTGCTACTGTTATGGATTGCAATGCAGGTACCTACAGTCTTAAGAACCCCTGTAAAAGGGTCATTTGACCCCCCCCCAAAAAAAGGAGTCACAACCCACAGGTTAAGAACCACTGCCTCGGATCTCTGCATCCTGAGACCCATCACACAGCAGGATACATGTAGTGAATCACCATGAGGTTTGGATTTCCAAACTGCTCAGAGGAATGGGGGGGGGGGATCAGTGGATAAACTATTTGCTGTGTCAGCAAGAGGGTCAGGCTTCGGATCCCCAGAACCCAAATAAATGCCAGGTGAGCTGCAAGTCCAGCTTCAGAAGCAGAGACAATTCCTAGACAAGCTGGCTAGCGAGATTAGCCATAGCATAAAGCTCTGGAATCGCCCGAAAGGTCCCACCTCGTTGAATAACCTAGAGCAATCAAGGATACTTCCAGACATCAACCTCTGACCTCCACATACACACACACATGCACACACACATGCACACAGAAACGGAAAACTGCTAAGGGAAGGAGGGGCTGTGGCTAGCTCCCTTGGTAATGTGCTACCTTGTAGGTACAAGAACTGCTATTTAAAAGCTGAATGTGACGCAAATGCTTATAATCCAGCGCCAGGGAAGGAGCCCCATG